ATTAATCTCCTTTATGACCATCAGGAGGAGCCCCAGGAGTGTAGGAAGTCACTTCACCGCTAACCACAAGGTCGGCGGTTTGAAGTCAGCAGTTGCTTCTCCAGACAAAGATGAGGCTTTCTGGTTTTGTAAAGCTTTCTAGCCTTGGAAACCCCAAGGGGCTGTTCTGTTCCGTCCCGCAGGGTTGCTATGAGTCCAGCGAGCTTGGTTTGTGACCATCTCGAGATCCTAAAGGAACACCTATCTGTACTCGATATTCTTTTCTTTAGGAATACTACTTTATTTCTGTCCCCTGGAGGGATTCTGTCCTTCAGGTTGTAATTAAAAAGTCATATTTAAACCACACATCCTAAAGTGATGAACTACGTTTTGTATCTGAAATGTTGATAAGAGACTGAAATAATAAAATGACCATGCCCATGTCGACGAATGGGCATGAATAAATGCCGTGCTTTGACTAGCCAAAGAGAAGGGGCAGGTTATTCGTTAGGTGAGCCGCTATTGCTTTGGCTTTTAGATGAGACCCTGAATAGCGGGAAAGCTTGCAGCATTTTGAGGTGACTGGATTCAGCAAAGACCACGGAGGGCTGTAGCCGAGTTTGGCTCTCCTGCTCGCCCAGCACGAGGGATCATCCTGCCCTTGGAGTATAATCCTCAGTTGATGTATTCGTTCTGTAATGTTTCAGGAAATCTCCTCAGGTCCCTTTGTTTTCCCTTTTGTAGGATGGATAGACATGTACTTGCCTGTGAAGGTACTTGGGCCTGTTGACTCCATCAGTAACAATTGATATGTGTACTGAGGGCACCGAGCTGTCTGGCCTTGACCAGGGGTGCTGCCCGTATGATGCCATTTCTAAAACCCATCCAGTAAGGTGGTTGTTCTAACCCCATTACATAGACAAGAACGATGGCTGACAGAGCCTATGCCCTGCTTAACAAAAGGCAGAGCTAGGATTTCATCCCAGGCCTGTCTGATACCATAGGAGTCATCTCTCTAAAATGGGTGGAAAATAAAGGTCAGTAAAAATGACATTGCCTCCGGATTTCGTGGTTTCTTCATTTCCGGAACCTGCTGTGAGAACCCAGTAGCAAACTTGATATAGCTGAGTGTGTTAGGCCGGGTTGACTAGAGAAACAAATCCAGAGACACTCATCTATGCATATGAAAGAGCTTAATATCAAGGAGTCATTGTATCACAAGAAAATATCCCAGCCCAGTCCAGATCAAGTCCATAAGTCCAACACCAGTCCGTACGTGCGATCCTAGTCCACAAGTCCCTTTCAGACTCAGGCAGCACGTTCATTGATGCAGAACGCAGAAAAATCACAGGTCGGTGAGTACAAAGTTGCTTGGATTCACCACGGAGCTCCTGCAGGTCTCCCAGGGGCTTGCCAGGGGGAAGGTGAAGGACACAGAGAGAAGTTCCCAGGATCCTTATGAGAAGGCCATGCTCACCAGGAGGTTCCATCAGGCTGTGAGCTGATTGACAGACTAGACTCCCCCCATAGCTTCCTACGGGTGCCATGTGGGCACACACAAAACACCTGTCACACTGGGTTTTGTGTCCCTCAGGTTAATGCCACTTGGTGAAGATGCTAGGAACAGGTAAAGATCCAGGCATACTCTGAGGAAAGGAGGGAGCCAAAAGCATGTGACTGCCCTCCAAGTTGATTAATTGGTCCCTGAAGAGCTATGTTACCGTTACTATTTTTACATTATTTTTATTTCGGATAAAAAAGGCCATCATGAACTTTCTATTTCCCGATTCCATAATATTCAGACATAGACTTACTGATACACGGTCTTTTCTGTTCTCTGTGTTTTATTTGTAGCTAGAATGTAGACTTTATTCCCCAGCGTAGGCTGCAGGAAACCCCTTCCTATGACATGAGTCCCGCTTTGACCCTGCTGTTGAACAGATGTCCCCGAGGCCTCAGTGTGTTTGGGCACGTCTATGGTCCTTATGGGGAACAGCGTTCTACGTTATACTCATCTCTATCTGTCTCTGATGGCGTGAACTCCTCCCCCAGGAAAGAGTGGCCTATATTCAGGAAGCACTTGATGGCATCCTTTCAACAGGTGACACAACAGGACCCTCATGCTAGCAAGTTGTGCTCATTAAATCCAGTGACTCGAACAAGTTTTTAGGATCTTTTGCAACAAAAGGCAAGTGCCCAAACAGAAAAATGTACCCCACCCCCCACCCAGTTGTAACTTAATGAAGTGTTACTGTTTGTTCATGTAAGTGGATAGTTTCACAGATTCCTGCTGCCTCAGCGATTGGCCACTATTAATATCCCCCGAGTTGTTCTAATGGCAGGTGGTACTTGGAACATTCAAGTATGGACAGATGTTTAGGACTATTATTTCTCCTCTCATGCTGACTGATTGATCCCGCCTCCCACCCCTAGACCTTACTAGAATGCAAGATGCTGCCTTTTGGACTTTGGCATCTCTCATTACCCGATCTTGTCAGAAAGACAGACAGTGTACCAGGAATGCTGGTACTCCTACTGGAGGCTTCTTGGGTGATGATGATCGACTGTAGTGACTGATGCTCAGTGACAGCCTCTCTCGCCGTCACTTGTAACAATACACCTTTTTAGTAAAGAGCAGGCACCTCTGACAAAGGGAACGGGCACTACGTAGTCATTTAGAAGGAAAAACAAACAGTGGTGGTTTTGTTAAGGGATTTAGGGGAAGACCCTGACGTTGTTGCTGGCTGGAGCAGCTGCTCTAAGCCAGTGGCTCCTCTCCTTATGGCCCAACGAGTGATGGGCTGTATTAAAGTGATGTCATATCTAATACTGCTCGTGGGAGGCAATGATTGTGTTTTGCAAATGATGAAAATAGTACCAAAAGGCTGGAGATTGAAGTCCACCCAGAGGCATTTGATTTAAGCCCTGAGAGAACTCCAGCTTCTGAAGAAGGCCCAGTGATAAACACCCACATCATGTGTCTACCAAAAAAATCCCCCATTGATCCCCGAGAGTTCAGGTTTTGAGGAAATAAAATAAAGCTATCGAAACGCAGGTGCTGAAGTAGCATTGCCATCATTTGCAAAGCAGAATTCATGTTCTCTCAGCTGTGTGTCCTTCAGAGTTTGTAAATCCTACTCTGCGCTGGGGCCTTGTCTAATGGTGGTGAATTCAGTAAGAAGGGCTCAGTCACGCCTCCCTTTTACCTTGCTCTCCAGCCCTTCGTTGTGCCAGGGGATAAGATCATGTCGAAAACAGTGCTTGCTGGCTAAAGCGGTGGCCGTGTGAAGGGAGGCTTTAAATGGTTTTTAGCCTCTGACAAAGAAGTGTTCAGATGGCATTGCCTGGGGCATTGCATTAGGTAAAACTGCTGCACAAGATCTCTTTAAAGTGTTGAGCTGCTAAGAGGTTACCCTGGGGCTTAAGGTTCACCTGGCCCAAGCCATGGTGTTCAGTTACCTCCTGAATGTGAAAATGGGCAGTGAATAAAGAAGACTGAAAAAGAATCGATGAAGACAGAATGCTCATGAAGCAAGGCTGGGGACACTTGGTCTCAAACACTTTGGACATGGTATCAGGAGAGAAGGACATCATGGTTGGTAAAGTAGAGGGGCAGCGGAAAAGAGGAAGACCCATGACAAGATGGGATGGACACAATGGCTACAACAATGGGCCCAAACATAACAACATTGTGAGGCTGGCACACGATTGGGCAGCATTTCACTCTGTGGTCCACAGGGTCTCTATGAGTTGGAACCGACTTGACACCCTAGGGCAACCACCACCAAGGAACATGGCTTGATTCAAGGTGGAGCAATGTTCATTTGCTGCTGTGGAATCAGTCCTGACTCATATCGAACCTGTAGGACAGGGTAGAACTGCCCTGTGAGGTTTCCGAGACTGTAACAATTTACAGTAATAGAGAGCCCTGTTCTCCTGCGGAGCTACTGTTGGTTTCGAACTGCCAACCTTTCGGATCGCATCCCAACTCATACTGTTAAGGGCAACTATGTACACCAAACTGTGTATGAGGAATTTTCCTTGTCAGGGACTTTAAGGGTCTTTCAAATGTAATTCCCTCCCTCATGCCCTCCCTCCCTTCCAGCTATTTATTGTGAGTTAGGTGAAGGTTTATCAAGCAGATCAGCACTTTAATTTTTTTTATTTTTTCCTAGCATTTTTATATTCAACAGCTTCTCAAACCTCAGTGCCTTGCCCCCTCCATCATTTTTAGCCTTTGTCCCTCATGTTGGATATTGTCTTTCTTTCCTTTCACCCAAATTAACACCTGCCAACCCTGTAGCCAGTGACTTCCTCTTCCCCTCCTTCCACTCCCACCCTGGTAACCACCAAAGTCTGTTTCTTTTAGTGTGAAACCCCTTCTACCCGTGGTCTCCTACACTACTGATCCTTTTGTGATGGACACATTTCACTCGGCTAATGCCCTCCGGTTCATCCGTGTTGTCAGGTGTGTCCCAGCCCCAGGATTCCATTGTTTGTATCCCAGTTTATTTATCCAGTCTTCCTCCAGGGGCCAGTTGGCTATGTACCTTTATGCTGTCGTGAATAGTGCTGCAATGAACGTGGTGTGCATACACATGTTTGCGTTATGGTTCTTATTTCTCTAGGGTCTCTACCAAGTAGAGGGGTTGCTGCGCCATATGGTATTTCTAATCCGAACTTTTTGAGGATGCGCCATCCTGCTTTCTATGCTGGTTGTAGCATTTTAGAGTCCCGCCAGCAAGGCCTGAGGGTTGATTTTGGGTGATTTTCACGCAGTATTACCGCCGTTGCTCATCTGCCATGACTTTCGGATTCTATGATCGTTATTTCATGAGGCAAATTACTCCCCCACTGGACCTCTGTGAGGGCAGGATACGAGTCATATTCACCTTCTGCGGTCAGGTGATATTGCTGAGTACACTTTTGGGGAACAAATAATCTTCTGGCCTTCCACATCTGAAGGCCATCAAGTGTCTGTAACTCTAGTTCTAATCCCGGTTCCATTGTGTTTACAGCCACCACTGGTCCAAGCAATCTTCAGTGGAGATCTAGACGAGATACGGGTGCTCATCCACAAAACCGAAGATGTGAACGCTCTGGTAAGAGATGCTGTGGTTGATGGCACTGTCTCACCTGTTCATGGTCATGTGACCGTGAACGTCCAGTCTCATGGCCCCTTCGGCTTTTGACAGAAACCTCTAGAATGCTTTTCAGAATTCTGTTTTAAGTTCATAAAAGACACACTAAAAATAAAAATGTGTGATGTAGTAAAACACGTGCTTCTTTACCAAGATGTTCCAATCACAAGGTACAGTGGAAAGACAAACTTGTGATGAATATAATCGATATTATGAGTTATCTTCAGTGAGCCTCACAGGGTCTGACGCCACCGATGTCCAGTGGCACTGGAGTGACACGTGCCGCTGATCCTGCATTGGCTTGTTAGGAGTTTCCGTTAGATGCTATTGGAAACAGAGAGATACAATATTTTTCTAATGGCTCTCCAGACTTTGGACCTTTGAATCTATACCAAACAGGAGGTTGACAAATGTTGGTTCATCATCTGTGTTTGTCTAGGCCACCAGCTCAAATGAGATTTTGTATTTCTAAGTGGTTGAAAACAATGAAAAGAAGAAGAATATTTTGTAGTGGGTGAACATTCAGTGAAATTCAAAGTTCAGGGTATTCAAATCCAAACTCACTGCCATCGAGTCAATTCAGACTCACGGTAAGTCTGTAGGACAAGGTAGAACTGCCCACCTGGGTTTCCGAGACTAACTCTTTGCAGGAGTAGAAAGCCTCATCTTTCTCTCGGGAGCACCTGCTGGTTTCCAACTGCTCAACTCGCAGTTAAGAGCCCACGGTTAAGAGCCCACGGTGTAACCACTATGCCCCAGGGCTCCCCAGTGCATCTCAGTGCCATCGGGTCAATTCTGACGCATCATGACCATGTGGGGCAGGCTAGAACTGAGACTAACTCTCTACAGGAATAGCAAGCCTTGTCTTTCCCCCATAGAGGAACTGGTGTTTTCAAACTGCTGACCTTGAAGGTCAACTCGTAAGCATTATGCTACCAGGACTCCCCAGTGTACTACAGACACTGAGAACTGCAAGAGCGGTAGAGTTTGGAAAACACAGTCATTTTCCTTTTTCCACATTGTCGATGGCTGCTCTTGTGCTATAGCAGCGAGTGGAGCAGCTGTGGTGGAGCCCACGTGTGCCCTGCAAAGCCTAAAATAGTTACTTGGACAGAAAAAAAACCAACAACCCTTTGCTTACCTCTGTCTAGAGGCTCATGAACCTGGAGCCAGTGGATGGATTTAACATGCTAAGTGCCTTCTCAGATCCTGTAGAATATGTGTGTGCGTTTGTGCACACACATATATTTATTTGTGCAAAAGGCCAAGCCATTCATTATATTCTTAACAGGGTCTGAGACCCTCTAAAAGGTTAAGAACCAGTGGATCTGGAAGGTCTTGAAACAAACAAACTAAAATAAAGAAAACTGGAAAGAGCTAGTTAATAATTTACCCTTTTAATAGCTTCCTAGACCTGGATTGAACAAGCAATTATGTACAGTGCATGCTACTAATTCTCTTAATGCAACTCAATTACCCAAATGTTTGAGTCCATCAAGGAGAGGAGTCTTTGAAGTTACTAATGTTCTGTAGAAACAAGAGAAACCGTCAAACAGAGTAAGGAGAGCTTTGCCAGGGGGAAATGAATTAAGTGGAAGGCCCCATCTCCATTGGGTTGGTGGAATTCCTGGTTCGGAAGGAGAGCCATTTGGTGCAGTGGTTGTTCTGTTGAATGACTTTTTTGTGCAAGTCTTTGGCAGCTTCTCCCCAACTGGCACTGAAAACAATGGGACAATGTTAGGTGACATTTCTGCAAGGTAAGCACAGATGAGGCCAGGCCAGGCTACTGGAGAAGGCATTCGAGCATTTGTCTAGGGCCTGCAGGGTGTGACTTGCACTTCTAAGAAGAGGTCAGGCAAGCGAGCTCACTGTTCACTGTCTGACTGACGTCACTGGCATTGGCTCAGCCTGTTTGGTGGCTGGGGACCAAGCCCAGGCAAGCCCAAAGCATGGTCACTGTCTTGAAAGGGGAAATCAAGGATGCTGTGTAGGTTAATCGGGAATCACTCTAGATCGTGCAGAAGTAGCATTTGGCTACTAAGAGAAAGGCTGCAAGTTTGAATCCACTCAGAGGCTCCTTGGAAGAAAGGCACTGGGATATACTAATGCAAAAAAAAAAAAAAATCAGCCATTGAAAATCGTGGAGCACAGTTCTGTATCTGACACACACGGGTCGTCCGGAGCTGGAATGGGCGCTGTGGCAACTGGCAGCATTTCTGGCTTAGGCGAATCTGGGCGGGACGTTCTGATGAAGTGATGTGTGCATTGAGGTTGAGGGATAAGTAGGGATTAGAATCGTGTCTGTGGGTTTCTTGGCTGTCTGTCAAGAGGAAAGCGTGAGGGCGAATGGAGGAGGAAGAGGAAATGAGAGGTTGAGTGAAGGAACCAGTGCAAGGCTGGTCTGAGGCCCAAGAGAACTTTTCAGGATCCGTAGGGCTCTTCTTTCCGCTCATGTCTCTGTAGGCTCCCCACGCCACATCCCACTCCCCAACCCTCTTTCCCTTCCTCAGGCGAGTATCAAGAATATAATCTGATTTTCTTTTCTGTTGGAAATACTGAGCTGCCTCTGAATGCCACACTTGATTCTCAATGCTCTTTGGTACAAAATAGTCCCACGTGAATTCTTTGGCTGCAGTTAAAGTAGGTAGCTTGGGGGAAGTTAGCAAGGAGAATGCGGGAGATGGAAGACAGATGTGTATTAGAAATTAAACTTGATCAAATCATTGTGAATGAGGGGGAGTGCAGATTGGGGATCCAAGACCCATCTGTAGGCAACTGGACATCCCGTTATAGAAGGGTTGTGGGCAAGAGACGAGCCAGTCAGTGTGCAGTATAGCACTGATGAAACATACTTTCTTTCTAGTTCTTAAATGCTCCCCCCCCCCCAAGCCCTCACTATCATGATCCCAATTTTACCTTACAAATCTACCTTACAGACCAGGGGATGTACACTGATACAGATAAGAACTGAAACACAGGGAATCCAGGGCAGATGATCCCTTCAGGACCAGTGGTGAGAGTGGTGATACTAGAGGGAGGAAGGAGGGTAGGTTGGAAAGGGGGAACCGATTACAAAGATCTACATATAACTTCCTCTCTGGGGGATGGACAACAGAAAAGCGGGTGAAAGGAGATGTCAGACAGTGTAAGATATGACAAAATAATAATGTATAAATTATCAAGGGTTCATGAGGGAGGGGGGAAAATGAAGAGCTGATGCCAGGGGCTTAAGTGAAGAGCAAATGTTTTGAGAATGATGAGGGCAACAAATGTACAAATGTGCTTTACACAATTGATGTGTGTATGGATTGTGATAAGAGTTGTATGAGCCCCTCATAAAATGATAAAGAAAGAAATATAAACTTGAAGATTCATTTCTTGAGGGAAGAGAGGCTGCCAACCAGGACACTTAAATGTCAAGGACATTGCATGAGTAGCAGAGCGACTGTTGCTTGGAAGATAGTGTTTGTCTTCTTCCCATCTTCCCCCTTACTTTCCTCTCTCTCCAATTATTCACCCACCTTTTATTTTCTCGTCCTTCCCACTGCCATTGAGTTGATTCCGATTCATAATGATCCTGTAGGGCAGGGTAGAACCGCTCCTTAGTGTAAGGATCCTGATCTTCTTTGTCTTCCCTTTTCTTCTCCAGCTCTTCTGGGTTTTTAAAGTGTATTATGTGTTCTATGTATCAATATCCATCGTGTGAGCATTTCTGATATAGAAAGCGATACATTCAGGTTGACCAGCCACTCTGTGTTTCCCCCACATTGACCCCTCTTTAATTGTTTTCATGGACCCCGTGCTTCAGCCAAACTAAAGTCTTCTATTCTCTTGACCCCTTCTCACGTTTCCACTTGCCTGGATCCCTGCAGCCCTTCCAGACCAACTGCTTTCCCCATAAAAGCATCAGAATTCTCATTTCCTGCCTAACCTAACTAAAGAGCCCTACCGCTCCCCTCGGCGCCCATCGCTCTCTGTACTGCACGGTCACATTCAACCTCTGCTTGAGTTCTTCGTGTCTGTGTTTTACTTGTCCTGAGGGACTGTGTGTTTGATGACATGGTCACCATTTCATTTGTTCTCATCCACTTATTTCTTCTTGAGCCAATCCATGGAGCCCTACCCACCCACCCACCCCCGCCCCCCTTTTTCCCTCCAGCAAGGACAAGGGAATAGAGAGATTACCTTATTTTGTTAGTGTTCCTTAGGTTCCAGTTGTATTGTTGGAAAGCAGCTCTCTTCATAAGATTGATATGAAGATCGATTTGAGAAGCCACGAAGGATCAGGAGAGCAGGCTGAGTCTTGGTGATTTCTATGGCTAATGGTGTGCCAGGGCCTGGAAGAGTGGGAGGCCAATTGTACAGCTCATGCTGAGAAATCCATTTTAAATCTAACCAGATGCAGCTCATAATTAAAAGACTTATAGATGACCCCATCTTTACTAACCAAATTGAACTCAGGCTGGACAATAGCATCTGAATTTACATGCAGACAGAGATTCTGAAAGCCAACATTTGAATTCAATAAAGGCATGTTGTTGGGACAATGTTAGAACAACTGGATGTCAAGAAGGCAGTCTCCCTGCATCCCACAGGAGCCAAGGAGAGGGGCAGAGTGACACCTGTCATTGCCTAATGGTAAAGACGGGGAATTATACCAAATGAGAAAGGGTTGAAGAAACTGGGGATGTTTGGGGCATGGAAGGCCCAGAGAACCGCCTGAATAGTCCAGACATTGTCAAGTTAGAATGGAATGAGTCTTATCATGATATGATGTGGTTCCAAACTACAGAAAATAATATTTTGCTTTTGTTCTTTTATATTTAATCAAATCTGAAAATCTCAATGACATCAACAGTGCACAGAAGTGATGTGTTGACATGGTCGGTAATTAGCTCCCTGTACCCACTCTGTGCCTGCGACAGACAGACAGACAGACAGACAGATGCTTAGGGTTCATA